AAACATTATTTATAGCCCGATTTGGACATTTTCCCAAATCAACCTCACAATCACGTAAGAGGCGAGAAAAGGAACATTTTTTTGCCATGCTTATGAACTGATTTCCGCACCAAATTTGAACGTATGTTTTGTTACCTGGGGTATCTTTCAGACACTAATTCAGTTCCAGCTTGTAAATGGGTTTTCTCACTCCTGTACGGTCTTTCTGCAGTCAAATTTTACCCTCCTCATCCTACCTCACTAGCAATGCCAGCTCACTGTTCAAAGGTCATATTCAAAAATGTCGAGAACCAGCTTTCGGCTTACATGCACGGAGTTTTTATAGACCCGTTTTTAAAACTATTTATATGACCAAATGCCCCACTAGTGCACCACAAAACGCAACCCTTGCACCGAGCGCTTCAATGTTCCTCGCCTGTTTCCCAATGTTCACAACCTGTGTGCACTGTGTAATTATGTTTGTCAGGCTCTATCGCCTCAAACGAACACCACTCACACGACCCTCAGTGCTAACGCCGACCGGACCGCGGCGTTTCTCCGGCGGTGGTGAGACGCCCGGGGGCCGGACACGGGCGGCCGCGAGTGGATCATCAGGATCATCGGGATCATCACAGGATCATCAGCACTGTGCCATGCCACCGTTCGGCTCCGCTCGCGTGGCTGGACCGGCTCCCGGGCCGCCGCTGCAGGTCATTGTGAAACCGGTCGACCCGATACGCCGACGAAAGCCCGCCTCTAATCTCCCGCTAGTCTATAATCACGACTCCGCAGCGTTTTTCCCACAGTCGATTTGCGTAAATTTAACGGCGATTTCCGGCCTTTCCCGTGGCGCGTCCGAGCCCCCGCGGTGAACCGCGACAGGTACACGGAGACGGAGAACGGCGACGACGTGGTACGCAGTTCCCGCGGTCCATCACGCCCCAAGATACAAGGCGATGGAAGACGGTGGCGCAGGTGTGCTGGTCAGATCCCAGGCGATGTAGCACTACGACGGGCGGACCGCGTTGACTGTCGGTCAAGCCAGACAACAAAGGGAGGTGTATGGCTTCGCGGACAGCCTTCGCAGCTGGTCTCGTCAGATGACGAAGATAGAAATCCCGACATCACGGCCAGGGCTATTTGCAGCTGGAAAAAGCCAGTGAAGCAAGGGCAGACGGTGGCCACCTGGTCTCCAATGCTGGCAGGTCGTAAATCGAGATGACCAGTGATGGAAAACTTCGACGAAGCTACTCGCGACGTCGGCCGTCCGGAACGATAATCGTGTGATTATGAGTTTCGTGGGTGCTTCGGTAATCGGTGGCCTACATCACTTCGCTTTCATTTATCCCCGACGACATGGAGAACCGAGCAGCCACGGCGGCGTCCCAGCAGCAGCTGAATGAGGCGCAGTACACCACGATCTATGTGGCGGCACTAAAAGACTGCGGCACACAGTCCGCTGCTGATACGCACGGTCCGGGTTCCGCTACCGTGAACACCACTAGAGCTTGAAGCGGTTTACTAGGCTTGATGACCAGTTTTAGCACGCCACCATCCGGTCTAGAAGATTGCTACTGCTTAAGATGCTCCACTGTCGCGTGCAATAAGCTCCTCACAGTCGCCCGTGCTGCGACGTGCCCAACGCGTCGAAGCGTAGCGTAGCCTAAGATATACCGAGGTGGTGAAACAATAAAGCGTTTTCTCAGGCCGCAGGACCTAAGTGGAGTGTTTGTGGAACGTCGGCTGATCACTTATTGGCCAAGGAGGTCTTCCGCAGGTGTTGCGACATACTTTTTGCTATTACGAATGAATGAAATGAATACGAAAGGCTTCTCAGCGAAAAGGGCCCAAACAACAGACTAACTGCAGCCTGGTGACCCAAAATGCCACCCTTTACATGACAAAGTAGAGAGTGTGCCAGAGAGCACCACCGGGAGGTCAGCTTTCCCCTGCAAACAAAGCACGGCAGCCGTTATCGGGTGAGAGGCTGCGGTGCCGCACTCCTCCGGCTGTCAGCAGGACACGGCGGCGCCTCCCGAGCCCGCTTCTCCGGAGCGGCAGCGGCCGCTACGTCACGTCCGGCTGCCACAGTGACGACATCGCCCATCAGCCAACAAGAGCGGCTCGCCCACAGTGGCATACGCCACGACAACGGGAGACGCCCGATGTGGCGGCGCGCGGACAGCGTGGCGGCAGGACCGGTCTCCGGGCGAGACGCTCGCCGTGACGGCGGCGCGCGCTACGACGGCTGGAGACGCCTGAAGCCGCAGAGCGCGGACAGCGTGGCGGCAGGACCGGTCTCCGGGCGAGACGCTCGCCGAGACGGTGGCGCGCGCTACGACGGCTGGAGAAGTCTGACGCAGCGGGACAGCGGCTGCGCCCACAACCCGACACCCGCACTAGCCTTCGGGCACAGGGAAGAACTCGGTGTTTTGATACGTCGTTTAACCAGCGCGGCGTGGAAGGGGGAGAGACGTGATGTACCAGAGCATCCGCCAAACCATTGGGCAGAGCTCTTGAGGTGGCAAACATGTCAAAGAGACGCGTGAACACGTCTGGACGTAAGCGGTGATCTAAGCACGTTCACAGTAAAAAACCGGAAGAGGGGGGGGGGGGGGGGGCAGATCATAAGCGACGGCACAAACGTAAATAAAACGTAGGGGCAGTCGATATGAGTCTCACGGATGTGCAGATGGATGCAATTAACCGTTCGCGTCCTTCTATAAACACGATCATGGATCGTTTGATAACAGCCTGTTGAAAACAATTTCATGACCGCTAGTAACTTGTTTTTGAATATGGAACGAGGTCGAGGAAAAGTTCCGCGGGTTACAATGAAGAAACAACGTTACTCCGGTGTCGACCGAATTAACCATTTTTGCCAATTTCTCATTATTTTCAAACCAATTACATCGTAAGTTCGTACAACTACATCCTTAGTGTTGACATAACATATTTTTCCAAAATATTCAGCGAGAGGGAGATTTTGTGCAGGGACCACACCACTGAAGGCAAACCAGTTCAGTGAACCGAATATATTCCTGATTGTGACACATCACAACTGTATTTTAAGACCATTCAACGTACTTCGCTATTGTTGGCAGTTCTTGCCAAACATGCTACGATCATATCTGCGGATATTAAAACCTACACGAAGCTCGATCACCTAAAACGTGCAACTACCAGATGTGTGAGAACCCCGACTAAGATAAGACGAACCTAGCGTATGTTTTACGAATTACCAAGCTACGAAATAGGCTCACTCGGCTCAAAATAGACGACCACAACAAGGGGATCTTATAAATGCCATCCCGGCAACATAGTCAGGAGAAAACCCAGAGATGACATCCCGATGAGATCACAATGTCATAAACCAGCTTCTCCAAAATCGAGCATTCATTTCGAAAACGTCACATGATGAGGAAAGGAACAAACAATGACCAGATGAACATATCGAGAAGGATGACTTGAAGGACTCAAGACCTGAGGGATGATGACTTGGAAATGAAGGATTTTTGGACAGCCGTCTGCTGTGGCAGACCAACTTTTCGCTTACAAATGTTGAAGTCGAATCAAGATGGCTGAGTTTCTCACTACTGATTGCAGTCTGGCTACAGCTGACGCGATGGCCAGGGAAGCTCCACTTAATTACGGCAGAGTGAACCTTCAGAACCACCGCAACTGGCCACTTCAGCCCCCCTTCAGATCCGTCAATGAACGATTCCTGCACAGTCCTAATGATATGCGAACGTGACGGGCCGCGATCCCGTACCGGGTCTTGTGAATCTCCTGGTTCAAAGCCGAACGACTTAGGAACGGCTACTGCCCGTGGACAACGGCACTGGCCGGGGACTCCCAGATCTCTGGACCACATGGTCCGAAGAAGGCTGGTGCCGTCGGGTGATCCTGCTAATGTGTGGTGCGCAGGACCATTGCGAGGATCGCCTCGTCATCCCGGCCGCGCACAAAGCTCCCTCAGTACGATCAGTACGGGCAGTGAGTGAAGCAGACAACCTACCAAGCAAGTGCCAACAACTGTAATGCCAAAACAAATTTCCCCGATTTTTATGGCTCGGCAGCATTTGTCGTGATTACTTACGCAACTCACATAAACAACCGAACCAAAAGATACGATGTACCTATAAATAAAAAATGCATGTAGGGCACTGCTCAAAATAAACCACTTAATTCCAATAGAGTATCCGAGGATTACGGCTGCGGTGACCGCTTGTGTTGCCTGCGAAAGTTCTCGATAAACTTATCTTTTTCATACCTTTTCGTCCTAATTCGGACTTCCCGTAAGCCCCGTTACCCAGGGGATAGGACACGCAATAAGTCCATTCAGCTGGCCATCACGTCGGCGCCGTCGAATCGGGCTAGTCCAGCGACGTAAATGCACGGGTGAAACCGTGACGACTTCCAACCCGAGCGTGATGTCCCCGCTTGCAGGACCCCTGCAGAACATCTAAGCACTCGCCGAAACACGCTCCCGTGCAGCCGTGACATGCGGAAATTAACGTCCGTGTACACATCCCTGTCTAATCAACGGCAGCAATCAAATCAACGAGTTGGCATGACCCTCAGCAACCGCGACGAAGCACTTCTCCATCATGCCGACAAAGGCGTCTGCGACCGTCATCGGCGTCGGGCGCAGACCGGCCGTGCCGCATCACATGTTGCCGGCGTCAAGGAGGCGCCTCGGAGCGCGCACAGCCGCGCGTGAACGAACGCCCTGCCGGCCTCCGCACCCACGGCCGAGCCGACCTGCCGGTCTCTGCAATCACGGCCGAGCCGACCTGCCGGCCTCTGCACCGACGGCCGGACGAATCTGCAGGCGATCGGTGACAACGCGCATCGCTCCCCGCGCGGTCGCCGATGAGGCGGCCCGCGGCAGCTGGAGAGCGCACTCGAGGAGAGGCGAGCCATGGGTCTCGAGAACGCCCCGGCAGTGACGCGGCTGGCGGTGCGCGTGCGAGCCCGACCACGGCGGCCGTCTCGCTCTCGCGTCCGACGACACTCACCATGTCGCTCTGCGGCGGGGAGCGTGCCCGGCGGACCTCGGCGCGCGGGTGGCGTCGGCAGCGGCACCCGACTGAGCAGCACCTGAGCTCGGACTGACAGCGGCGGCGCGGCGGACACCTCGGCTCGGGAGCGCCGGGCGGGGCGGGCGGCCGGCGGCGGACGTGGAAGCGTTCTAACCGACCGCCGTCAGTCGGGACAGCCGCCGCCGCCGCCGCCGCCGCCGCGGGCCGTGCGGCGGCGGCGGGGGAGGGGAGGGCTGACACGGCCCGACCGCGGCGGCGCCGGGGGCCAGAGGAGGCGGGCAGGGGCTCGGGACGGGGTCGGCAGCTGCCGGATCCGGGGTCGCCCAGGTCTGAGTCGACCCACGTAATCGGATTAGTGGCCGCTTGGTAAACACACGGGCGCGGCGGCACGACTGGCGGCGAGGAACGGATCGACAATCATATTGCCCTCCGCACATCACGCAAAAGCGACGACCAATCTGGACACATCAGGCGAATCAAAAAAGTACATTTTTGGCCGACTTGATCTTACTGGCAGTATCCGCGTAAGACCGATAATTGTCAGACTTGCCCACCAGCAGCCAACAAGAGAACTAAACAAATCTCCGGCTAGGTGAGAGATGTAGCAAGCTCGTATTCGAACAGAAAAATACGAGAGGTAAAATGCAACAACACTGCCGAAAAAGCAGCTGTAGACCAAAAAAATAAACAAAAACAAAAAACAGCAGTCACACCTCCTAAAAGATGCAATTCTGTTTGCACATAAAGTCAATAAGCTGAAGGGTGCGGACGTCAAATGGTTACATGAAATAAACCACCTGCTCTATCCATTTTATAGGGGTTAAGCGAACCCTTCTTGTATCGATAGAACTCGGTACATTACAATAACAATAATTTTCGGGGTTCTGTGAAGATATTGAGGGCCCTGTAAACGCGGATTGTAGATCAAAAAGTGGTCACCAAATTGCATTAACGTGGCCAACCCATATTTGTCAGTAGAACGTTCAACTTCACTCAGCTTATTTTATTGACAAAAATGATGTAACATTCTTCTGAACATACGCGCTCGCAAGTATCACGAAAGAAAACCCACACGTTGCAGTCTCCATAAGCCGTGCGGTGTTGGCGGCGCGGCCCAGAAGTCCAACGGGCGGACGACAATGACGCATCTACAACAAAAACTTTTTAAAGCTTTTGGACAATTATTTGCAGGGTTCGAATCTCAAGAGCAAATGACACGTGTTTCACTAGTCCGGGCGTATATTTCACGAGTGCGACTTTTAGATTGATGGCAGGAACGGATCAGCACCGACAGCACCGCGAACTGGTGCTGGAACACGGTGGTGGAACTGGAAAAGCACCCACATAACTCTAGTTTTTGGCTTGCTGTGGTTGTTTTTCTGTTCAGAGGACAACATGAAAATAATAATGGTAAATATAAGCCAACATAATCTTTGACCACACGAACTGATTTTGAGAGGTTCGGAAGCATTATTTCACGGCTGTCGCTCTCGCGCGCCCAGCGTCCGCCGCCTGGAACCATATGCAGCGAACAACGACGTTCGGCTTTACAGAAACTGCAGCCTCGGTCACTGCTGTCCTTACTCCTGACATTGCGAACGTGCAGGTTCGAGCCGTTTCTGCGCAATTTGTCTCACAAATCGGCGAATCTGCAACAAGATGGACGTTCTCTGACAAACAAGGGTCGGCCTCTTTCATTTTTCACCTCATTTCGATGCACTCCATTAAACCCAAATTATACTCCTTATCCTATTGCGGGCAAGATCCCTGTGGGGAAACAATAGGAGACATGCTTTAGTGCTCGGCAAGGGCTGAAAGCCCATTCTGTTCCAGCGCGGGGTAACTACCGGCTGCCATTCTGGCGACACGGGGGCGGGATGCCCTAGCCAATTTGGGAGACGAACGAGGAATGAGGTCGGACGGATCGATGCAGGAGCCCTCATTGTCGCAACAATATTTGTTATCGCCGCAGGTGGTCTTATTGGCAGAGACTCCAGTTCCGCTAAATGGGCGCTTAACCGTTATGGGGTGGAGGCTCCCCTACTAGTACCCCGTTCGGTACTAGGGGCGCTGACCGACACTTGAGCCTTGTTTTGTCCCATTGTGAACTCGTAGCATAAGCTCTCATATCTCCTTTCATTTTCAGAGAACCCAGACCAACGCAAGAGGTCCCTGGCATTCGGGGTCCAGCCCCTGTCCCTGATCGGCAAATGTTCCCCCAACTGGCCCGGGGTCCGCCGTTCAGTATTGTGGGCACCTGACCGACACAGGGGGTTCCTCATTGCTGCAGGGGCCCCAACCAATGCAACTCGCGGGCCCCAGCCTTGTGCCTGCTTAGGAAATGGACCCCCAGGGCTGAGACCAACACGGAGACGGCTGTTCGCCGTTGGTTGTTCGGCCGAAATACAGGCTGGCATTATTCCAGGGGTCTCCAATCTGTGCAAGAGGCCTTCTGACCGACGTTTCAGGGCCCGGGCCCCTATGCAACCTTCAGCCAGCCTTTCGATGCCCTATTGCCCCCTAATTAGGCCCTTTATCTGGGGTGGGGAAGGGGACGTTCCCTGGCGTCGCTCCCCGTCTACACCACCGAATCCAAGTGCTCTGGACGTACTGGGCACAACTATACACTGAGCCCGCCGCTTTGAACGTTCTGATAGAAACGCAGATAAAAACCATGGAGGGCAGCGCGTCAGCTGTTCAGCTGATCAGCTGATCAGCACCCAAAACTTCCACGCTGAACAGTCAGCTGACTGCTGTCCGCGTTGTCGCACCGACGCATACCGCCATCTTCCGCACCGAGGGTGTCAAACCACACGTCGCTTACACGGACGGATCAAACGTCACTGCGCCTGACGGCCAAATCACGCGCATTTACATAGATAACGTATCACCGCTTCACGGGGTGACGGATCGCCGGCTCGTCTTACCAACACGGATCGTAATGGGGCGAGTGCGTGGTCGTGGTTACTGGTGAATCCGAGCGTAATGCGCAGGGAGATGCCCGGGGGAAGAATTTGTAAAACAATAGTCGCAGGTTGATTTTCACACCGGGCGAGGCAATTACAACAGCGACGTATTTCACGACACGGGCGGATGACAGCAGCCACGAAGGCCACATTAACAATCAGCATATTTGGTCGAGCTACGCACTAGACCGGCTTTATTCCTGCACGGCTTTCCGGTGTCGCAACACCCGCAAGGTCGTTTATTCACAGAGGACAACCATTTCACGGGCCGGGACCATACCGTCCGGAGCGGCACGTCCGACATGTGATGACGCCAGATCCGTACCGGTCGATGCGCGTCGTGTCGGAATCCCCAGACTCTGACCAACGCCAAGACGAGGCCTTCGGGACCGTGGCCAGCGCCTGCAGAGCAAGTGGTTCCCCGACTAGAGATGCCTGGAATTCCGAGCTAGTGACTATTACCAACTTGATTTTACCTATCGAGGCCAGCGCAAGGTCGGCAACTTCACCTCCCTAACCATGCCGGGCCCACAGACATACAAGCGGTCATTTCTACTCCTTGGCCGGATCAGTCAGTCGCCCAACCTCTTCAGCTCCCTGACCGTATCGGTATCAGCCGCCCGGCCTCTCCAGTCCCATGGTCGCATCGGTATCGGCCGCCCCGGACTCTTCAGCTCCCTGGTCGCATCGGTATCAGCCGCCCGACCTCTCCAGTTCCCTGGCCGCATCGGTACACACCGCCCGACCTCTTCAGCTCCCTGTCCCTATCGGGACTCCCGTCCGAGATGTTCCAGTCAGCCTGGCGTAGTAAACCTCGGCAATCCACAGCGCCGGAGCGCCGTACAGGTGGCCCGCGACAGCACAGGACGACTGTCGGCGGTGACGAGCGAGCCGAGCCCGGCCAGCGCGGAGCAGTCCGCTGACTACGGGAGCAGCTGCCACTGCCCGGCGGCTGACGCCATGGACACCCGCACGGGATGCTGAGATCAGCTGACCGGGGGACACCCGCACGGGCTGGTGAGATCATCTGACCGCGGGACACCCGCAGGCCTGCCGAGCACGGGCTGCTGAGATCAGCTGACCAGGGGACATCCGCAGGGCTGCTGAGATCAGCTGACCGGGGGACGTCCGCCGGGCTGCCGAGATCAGCTGACCTGGGGACATCCTCAAGGCTACCGAGATCAGCTGACCGCGGGACATCCGCACAGGCTGCTGAGATCAGCTGACCGGGGGACACCCGCAAGGCTGCTGAGATCGGCTGACCGGGGGCCACCCGCAAGGCTGCTGAGATCAGCTGACCGGGGGACATCCTCAAGGCTACCGAGATCAGCTGACCGCGGGACATCCGCACAGGCTGCTGAGATGAACTGACCGGGGGACACCCGCAAGGCCGCTGAGATCAGCTGAACGCGGGGCATCCGCACAGACTGCTGAGATCAGCTGACCGCGGGACATCCGCAAGGCTGCCAAGATCAGCTGACCGGAAACACTCGCACAGACTGCTGAGATCAGCTGACCGCGCGACATCCGCAAGGCTGCTGAGATCAGCTGACCGCGGGACACCCGCACAGGCTGCCGAGATCAGCTGGGAGCGGGAGCACGCTGCCGAGACTCCTCAGACCAACGGCGGCGAGAGGCCCGCCTCCACTGTCCGATCGATGCTCAGCCGACGCCTTCCAAAGCAGGTGTCACAAGCGAGGACCAATCGCCAGACACGGGCCGACATGTGGGCTTCCGTCTCCCACCCGTCTGGAGGCAGCAGCTCGCGAACCATCGCCACTCCCCGACACGACCAAACCCGCTCGCTGATCGCAGGCCGGGCGGCCGCAGCCGCGGCGGCGTCCGGTGCGGGCCCGGGTCAGCCGGGGCCGGACGGAGCGCCGGCGCGGCCGCCGTGCCCGTTCCCAGCGGCCTCTCACCCCGCGCCGGTGAGAGCGGCGGCAGCGGTCGGCGCGGCGGCACCGGGCCACCGCCGTCCGGATAGCGGCCGGCGTGGAGCGCCGCCGCGGCTGTGCAATCGCTGGTCGAGGAGGGACAGACAGAGGCGAGGGAGAGACAGGGACGGGGGAGGGGGGCTTGAGGAGGGGTTTTGGGGAGCGATGGTGGACGGGTTAGAGCGACAGGGAAGACAGTGAGAGCAGGGATTTGGCC